CAGCTCAGCTGTTCCCTGTGCTCCTTATGACCTGATAGGTGATGTAGAGACTTGACCACCCTCTGGACTCTGGTTTAAGCTTTTCTGCTTTAAGCAAGTGGAGGCATGGCTGTTGTTGCATTCTGATTTAGGGCATGCTCTGTTTTAGTCCTTGGTGCTGTGGCCTATGGAGGAGAACTCCAGTAGCACGTCAAGGTCCTTCATGCTCCTGACCTATTGAGCTCACTTGGACATTGTTCCTGCACCAGCCTAGGGCTGCTGGTGGGATCCTGCGTTGAGTTTTGCTGCTCATTTTTTTAATGAAACCAGATCATGGCTGATCATATAGCAGCACTGGTGCAGCAATAGTGACCACATTTTGCTACCCCAATGAACTGACATGTTAGAGAGAAGGAATGTAGCTGCTGGTGCTCACCGGATGCAAGGATGGTGAACTTTCATTTCACACACTTTGTGCATATTGTCAGGATGAGCCAGTGCTTGGAAAAAGACATCAAGCTGGGAAAGGTGGAGGGACGGTCAGAGAAAGAGAAGATGACCCTCCACAAGATGAATCGTCATAGTGACTGTAACAACGGGCTCGAGTATATCAGGGAAGGTGAGAATGGTCCAAGACAGGCAAGGTTCAAACCTGTTAATCATAGGGTTGCTGTGAGTGGGAGTCAGCTCGATGGCACCCAACAATGTAACTAGCAGAGCAAGTGAAGAGAAATCATCATACGTTGTGATGGGGCAGTGGAGGAGCTGGTGTGCAAATCTCTTGGGTGGGAGTGGGCAAAGAAGAAGGAAGCAGCATGTGGATGGCAGCAAAAGGCTCTCTGAGAAGGTGAGAAATGTGGATGGAGGTGGTTGCAAGGTACAGTGGTTGTAGTGGGGCAGGGTAGATGTCTTTAGGACTGCGATGTGCTAAATCCACCGCAGGAGGGCCTGGTTAATGATAGTGGGCTGGACTAGACTGTTGTAGTAGGAATGGAGGAAGCACCGATTGACTTTGGAGGTAGGACATTTATAGGACATGAAAGGTGAGAAAGAGCAAGGATTCCTGATTTAAGCCGGTGGGTGAGAGGCTGTTGATTCATAGCAGCTTTATGGGGATTCTGAGAACTCCCCTCAAGGTCCCATCTGGTCCCTTTTGGATTGCCTGCCAGCCTGTGCCTTTTAAGTGTATTTTGGGCCTTTTTGTTCTACTCCCTGCCCTTTGACCTTTAAACTACTCAATGGTACTCTCAACAGAGAGAAAAGGAACAAGAGTTTAAGACTTGGTGAAATGAGACCCAAATGTAAAGTAATATTTGTTATCATATTTATAGATATGTTTACTGGGGAGAAGTTTAAAAGTAAGAGTCAAATTTATGCTTACTTCATTTAGGTTTCTTTATCACAGATGATTGAGTTGAAGTTGCACTAAAATTGACTGAGAAATAGTTTTCTAATACTAATACTATGATTATGTAAACATTGGATAGACCCTTCTTGTGTTTCCTGTTACAATTAAACATCTTCACTTCTTAAAGTTCTCCTTGCGCACATGAATTCCTGTGCTTGAATTCTAAATCATAAATGACATCAGGATGCTGCAATTGTCAAGGATAAAACTCAGAAGACAAGAAGGGAGAGGATGGAGGCGTGAATGGAAGTAAGAACCACAGAGAAATGCTGGGAAGGGCGATGATACAGTGTGGGCTTGGAATCTGTGCCGTAAAAGCACAGATAGTGAGTTAAATGCAAGTCTATAAATTTTCTCTCAAATCATAATAAAATGGAAAAATTATTTATGCGAGATTACTTAATATGCTCAGTTAGAGAGGGGGAGAAGCAGACAGCAGGATCGAGTTAAATTGCGTTTGAAACCGCTTTGGAGAGCTCATTTGTCTGTTAGTGGGCTCTGTGAGATGACTTCCCACCAGCAGCTGGTCACTGTGAGAAAATGAGCTGTTTCCCACGCTCCCACACGGAAATCCAGTTGGGAGGCGTGTGCACGACTGCACTGCTGGACGAGAAGAGAGCCAGAGGCCAGCTGGTGGAATTCCTCCGCGACTCCCTCCTCGGCTGTGTCCTGAGAATGAGCGTGGCAGCAGACGCTGATGGAAAACATGCTGCCTGGATCTGTGAGAGCCATGGAGCCTGATGAAAAGAGAAGCTTTCCTTAAACCCATGTTTAGTTGCCAGAGGTCTTGATTTCCCACTTCCCCGTTATTTTATTTTTTTAAATATTTTTACAGGGGAAAGCACAAAAACAGTCCCCCATGACCACAAATTATGCAGCCACGTTTCCCACTTTTGGGGAAATCACAGGGGTCAGCACATCTGGAGCGTGATGGATAAGCCTCACCCTGGGAAAACCACCTTCATGATCACGGTCTCTCCCTGGCCAGGTATCAGGTGCTCTTGATTCAACTCTGTCTTATGGTGACTCCAGTGCACAGCAGTGGTGCTACCTGGTCAAGTGTCTCCTTCTTGATTGCGCATGTGCTTCAAGTTCATTGTTGCAACCACCATGTAATCTGAGTGCCTTCCATGGCTCGGTGTGGCAGGAAGGGGCAGAGAATCTCATGGACTGCCAGAAGATCAAACAGGTCTATTCTGGAGGCAGTTCAACCAGAGTGCTCTTTAGAGACAGTGATGGGGAAACTTCATCCCACCTGCATGGAGCATGTTATCTGGAGGAGGCAGAGGAAGAGAGGAAGGTGGGTGGACACAGTGACTGTGACAATGGGCTCAACTCTATCAGAGGCGGTGAGGAGGGGCAGGCCAGGACAGGGTGCAGATCTGTTGTTCACAGGGTTGCTGTGAGTCAGACTTGATGGCAACAACAATTTTTGGAAGTAGCTCTCTAGGCCTTTATTCCTCGTCCTGCAGCTCTGTTGACACCTGTCCCCCTTGTGACTCTGCTGGCATTTGAAACACTGATACCATAGCTTCTAGCATTATAGCAACACGCAAACCAACACAGTCCAACAAACTGACCCGCAGGTGGTAAACAAATACGGAATGCTTCAACTCCATCATGCTAAAGCTTTGTAGGCACCAGGCTCTTGGTGTATTTCTGGGTTTCCAGTTCCTCTCTATTCACCTACGCACCCTCTTCCTCAGGTATTTAGATCTGAGGCGACTGATGAATGAGGGTGCAGACAGCAGGTAGGGGGGAATATAAGCATTTGGTCAGTGCACAGCCTTTGAGCCAACTCCCGGACAATCGAGAATTACTTTTTAGGCTTTTGTTTTCCTAACTTGTTTGTGATGCAGCCTCACAAAGTACAAAATGAGGAATTTTGAAGAGTAGATAATAAAAAAGAATTTTTCCACCCTGTGTGACAATCACCACAGTCTTTCCAAAACCCCATTAGACTAGAATTAGATTTCTTCTGTGGATGGGAGGGTGGTGCACTGACCGGTGTGTGAGAGGCCTCGAGTCCAGGTGCTTCCGCCACTACCAGGCGAAGGTCCTGTTGCATCTCAGAGGCTTCCTTCCCAAATGTCCAAGGGTAGTGGGCTTTAGGGGATGACCAGGAGACTCTCTCTCCACCTCTTTCTTTCTGAGTTCTGGTGGCCTTCTGGAAAAGGAGTTGCACTGCTAACCCAAAGGCAGGCAGTTCAAATCCACCAGCAGCAGTGTGATGGGCAGCCTCCTCCTGTGGAGAGTTACTGTCTTGGGAACTCAGTGGAAGATCGCCATGCATCGGAATCAGCTCAGTGACAGTGGGCTTCTTAGAAAACAAAAATGTTGCCTTTTTGACCATCCAGCTTGACCTAACCATGTTGTACAGCTATCACCATCATCTGTTTCCAAAAGCTTTGCATCACTCCTTGTAGAAATTTATGACCCGCTTAAGGTCATAACCCTAGTGGTACTAAACATTCAGCTGCTAACAAAAAGGTTGGAAGTTCAAACCCACCAGTCACTGAAGTGGAGAAAGATGAGTCAGTCTGCTTCTGGCAAGGTTTAGAGTTTTGGACACTTAGTGATTTAGCAAAAACTCCTATTATTTTCCTCCCACTCTTGCTCCTAGTAACCATACATTTTTGTCTCTGTGTTTCCTGCTTATTCTGGGTATTTGATTATAAGTTGGTTCATATAACATTTGTCCTTCTGCATGTCACTATGCCGTTCAGCATTTTCAGGGTTCTTCGGTGCCATAGCACCTATCAGAACTTCATTTCTTTTTATAACTGAATAATAATCCGCAGAAAAACTCTGTCTCCCATGCTTTGGACATGTCAGAAGGGGTCAGTCTTCGGGAAAAGACAGGATTCTGGGCAAGGTGGAGGGTCAGATAAAGAGAAGACCCTCAGCAAGATGAGCAGACACAGTGTCCGTAACAACGGGCTCAATCGCGGCAGGCATGGTGCGGATGGCACAGGGGAGAGCAAGGTTCTGGTCTATTCTATTGTTCATAGAGTTGCTAGGAGTCAAAGTGGGCCGATAGACTGTTTTCTGCCTTTGTGTACTGTGAAGAACGCCAAAGTGAACATTGGTGCAGATACATCTAGGGCTTCCCTGCTTTCAAATCTCTTGGGAGTGAGTCCAGGTGCAGACTTACTGATTCAGAGGGTAACTTTTTTAGGAACTGTGACACTATTTTCCATGGTGACATCATTTTGTAGTCCTACCAATAGTGCGTGGAGTCCCAATCTCTTCACCTTCTGGCCAACACTTGTTGTTTTCTGACAGTAGCTGTGTTAGTGGGGTGGTGGAGTGTGGTGTGCCCTGCCCATGTCTGTACGCAGAGTGCAGAGCAGGAAGCGCACACGCAGGGACAGCGCCGTCAGTGGAATCAGTTAGTGAAGGCTGTGAGGGTGACCTGTGTCTGTAGTCAGGTCTGTGCTGAACCTCCAGCCCTGTGACTGGAAAGTGGCAGCCATGCTTCCTGCCCAGTGTTCTTTCCCTCACCACATAGAAGGGAATGCGGAGTTGTTCAGTTTGGCACTGTGTGGGATTCTGGTGTACTTGGGCCACTCTGACAGGTCCATGATGACAACTGCACTTGGTTTTTGTACAGATCACCACAAATGGCCTCATCGCTGTGACAGAGCCCCCCGCTAAGGAATCCCACCCTGGACTCTTCCCCCCAACCTTTGGAGCCATCTCACCATTCCTGGCCGACTTAGACACCAGCGATGGCCTTGGGACGATCTACTATCGGGAGGACTTCTCCCCTTCTGTCATTCAGCTGGCAGCAGTGTGTGTCCAGAGAGGGTTCCCTGAAGTCCCTTTCCAGCCCAGCAGTGTGGTGGTTGTCACTTGGGAATCCGTGGCCCCCTACCAAGGGCCCAGCAGGAACCCTGAACTGGAAGGAAAGGTGAGTACTCCTATAGGTTCCAGGGCAGGTGGTCTAACGCATTGGGTTTGCCCTTTCTGGTCCTCTTTTTCACGCTCCTCCCATGCGTCTGTGCTATTGGAAAAGCAGGAAATCCCAAGTATCCACTAGGTCCAAAAGTTCCAAAATGTGTCTGTAAGTCTTTGTAAATCCATGATCTCTGACAAGAATAGAGTTGATAAGTGACATCCCCTAGCTGTGTTTGAAGGGGAGTTCAGGTGGCACTGTGGGTAAGGCATTTGACTGCTAACTAAGTGGTCAGCAGTTTGAACCCATGAGCTGCTCCAAGGGAGAATGAGAGGTAGTCAGCTTCTGGAAAGATATGTGACCTTGAGAAGCCTATGGGCAATTCTGTGCGCTGTGGGGTCTCTAGGAGTTGAAATGTATTTCATAGTGGATATTTGTGTTTGAATGTGTATAACCTTACTTTTAGGAAACTCTAGTTGTGCTGCCAACCCCAAGGCACGTGATTGGATCCTTTAGCTGTTCCATGGGATGGTTAATCTCCTCCTATGCAATTTAGAGCTGCTGAAAATCATCTGGAGAGCCAGCTATGAGTCATTTCTGACTCAATGGCAATGAAATGAGTTGACCTTACTTTTGGTGGCAAATGGTGAGGAGGGTCATTTCTAATTAAATAGAGAGATTATGATGACAATGGTGATGATGAAGTTAACATGGATTGAAATAGCAATGTGGTCACTAAGGATGTGCGTGAAGAAATAATGACGAGGCTCCACGCTCTGGTTAGGGAGAGAGGAATCATTTTCACCAGGACTAGTGGAGAAACAGTGCTATAGAAGTCCAAACATGTGGACCAGGAAAAGCTCTAAGGGGCTCTAGAGGTCAGACTGCCCTTGAAGGATGTAGAAGCCATCACAGACCTAAAGAGACTGTAGGATGTACCTCATTTTTTCTAAAGAAAAAGAATTTTTCTCCACCATTCTTTCTTTTTAAAAGTACAAGTAAGAGAGAAACATGGAGAGTCCAAAATCTGTACATTGATATGACTGTTCCCAAAGTGTTTACTGCAGAATGACCTGTTGATTGTCCTTCTGAGAAAGACCAACCATCTCCTTAGAGATATGCTCTGAGAAGTCTTGAAGCAAAGAAGCCCGCTTAGGGTTCTCCTAGCAATACTCAATTGTAGCCATATTTTTCTCCCAAATAAAGACAAATTATATCTCACAAAACATACTTGGGAGAGTTTTTTCTGGGCCTGCCAGCTGTTGTCTGAGATCTGTACTTGAAAAACTGCTCAAAATCTCAAAATGCTTTGCGTGCTTCCCTTTTCCTTGTATGATAAGCTCCCATCTTTAATGGTCCCAAGGCCTCTCTGTCTCTGAGCCTTATCTTCTGTTACTTCCCACATCCTGTGCAGCAGCTGTCACAGATATTTGCAGATCTAAGACACACTGTCCTCTAGCCCTGTGAGTTCCCTGACCATCCTGATGACGGTGAGCTCTTGCTTGTTCACTTAGAGCTGACCCTTCTGGGAGGCCTTGGCTCCACTGCCACCCTCTTTGGTCTTAGACTTTGCCTCCTGGGACACTCAAGCTCTCTGTACATATCCCTACTGGCGATCCAGGCCCAGCTTTTGCCACTTTTGGTTCACAGACCAGCCTTCCCATCCAGAGAGTAAATCCTCAAGTGCAGGAACCTGTGTTCTTTTCTTTGGCCCCTCAGTACTCAGGGCAATGCTGACTCCTAGGAAAAGTGCTAACATTTCTAGAGTGTATTCTCCGTGTCTGGACCTTCACAGGCCTTCTTGTGTTATCTTGATGACATTCCCATGAGGTTGGTGGCTTTATCTCCATTTTACAGGTCGAAACCTCAGTGCTTGGAGAGTTTAGGTTACACGCCTCAAGTCATACCATCAATAAAGAGTAGAACAGGGATTCAGATCCAGGTCTGCTTTCTCCCAAAGCTCATACTTCTTTCTCCCGTGTGATTCTTGGGCTCAGTGAGCACTTTCTGAATGGAGAGTGTGGTTGAATATGTCCAGTGGCAAGGGACCCAGTAGGAAGGCATTCGAATCTCCTACGCTGGCTGAGATGTAGGCCTCCATCGGGAGTCAAATAACTTTAGAGGACTTCCCGGAGAGCTCTCCAGGACTTTAGTACGTAGTCCTTGCTACAGGAGCACCTCTTTTCGGTTGATATGTGCATAGGGCTATTTCTTCACAACACTGTTGATAAACGAGCTTATTTCTGATGATCAGCCTGTTAGAAGATCTTGAGTAATTGAATTTTGACTTGTTTTCACAGAGAAACACATTCCAGGCTGTTCTAGCTTCCTCAGAGTCCAGCTCCTATGCCATCTTCCTGTACCCAGAAGATGGTCTGCAGTTCTACACAACGTACTCGAAGAAAGACCAGAACCAAGTGCCTGCCATGGTTGCGTTCAGCCAAGGTTTAGTGGGGTTCCTGTGGAAGAGTGATGGTGCTTATAATATATTTGCAAATGACAGAGAATCCATTGAAAACTTGGCCAAGTATGCTTTCTTTGTTCTTCAATAATTTCTCCCCTTACTACGATGATAATTTGTTTTAAAAATAATGTTAAGGGTGTTGTAGAATGTGACCTATTATAAATCTCCCTACAGCTCCACATTTTGTATCTAGTTTTTAGGGAACCTTGGTGCCTTAGTGGTAACGGATTGCATTTGCCTATCCAAAGGCAGGCAGTTCGAATCCCCTAGCTGTTCCATTAGAGAAAGATGAGCTATCTCCTCCCATGCTATTTACAGGCCCTGAAAGCTCCCTGGAGGTCAGCTATGTGTTGGTTTCAATGATAAACAACAATAAAATCTAGTTTTTCTTTTATGCAATACGTTCCCCCCCTCCCCGGAATATATCTTTAAGAGGAACAGATCTTATTTTTAAAGTATTGTCTTCATTTTAAATTATTTCTACTATGGTCCCTGTAATATAAAGTTAGAGACAAGGTGTGCATACCTACATCTGCTGTGCTTGCTGTCCAGCCCTTGCTTCCTGCTGCTTTTCGGATGGTAGGGGTGTCCTCTGGGTGGGCGTGCCTCGAACAGGCCTCTCCTTCCCCCCAGGAGCAGCAATGCCGGGCAGCAGGGCATCTGGGTGTTTGAGATTGGGAGTCCATCCACGGCTAGTGGTGTGGTACCTGCTGATGCGGACCTTGGCCTGGATGATGGAACTGAATATGAAGATGAGGATGAAGATTATGATCTGGGGGTGACAATGGGCCTGGAGGATGTGGCCACCACAACCTTCCCTTACAAGACTCCAGGAAGGAGGGACACTGACCCACAGCAGGTGACGAGCATGCTGCCCCCACATCACACAGTGACAGAGAGCCCCCCTGAGCATCCTGTGCCCAGGACCAGGTCCTTCCAGGTGCCATTGGAGACGTTTCCCCAGCAGTACCCGCAGGTGGTGGATGTGGATGAAGTGGAGGAGACAGAAGTGGGTAAGGCCTTGCAAGCTGTGTTTGGCTCTTATTTAGACTCTTGGGTTTTCAGCCAGGAGTCCTATTGGAGGGAATGCCGCAGTGATTTATGAGAACAGGAACCTGGACATGTCTTTGAATTTTGACAGTGGTAGAACACTGCTACATTGCCCTCATGGCTTCCAGGAATCCAGACAATCTTTTGGGATCCATACTGGAGTTATGAGACTGTTGACTATATCTTTTCTGGGTTCCAGTCTGTCTGTTTCAAAGAAGAAAATGTTACAGGGCTCTTTGGAAAGTCAGATTTTCTTGTTTGTGCCTTCTATGACAAGAAATCCATTCATCCACCTGACAAAACATTTTAGAAGTTCCTTTGCTGATTCAGGCAGCTGGAATGTGACATTTATTTCCTCTTGGCTTTGGAATGACAATGGCTGATTATGTTTCCTCCCAGGTCATAACAGTTTCCAAGTTGCCCAATGAAGATAAGACACTCAAGTTCATTGCTGTAGAGTCGACACCAACCCATAGCTGACCCTCAGTTTCTGAGGCCCATCTTTCCCCTTCAGAGCCAGTGGTAGATTCCAGCCACCAGAGGTGGGGCCTTTGGATTAGCAGTAACTCCCTACGGACAGAACCACCAGAAAAAAACCCCTAGTTTTACAGTTTTAGTAGTTTGCTTCTAGTCCAGCATAGTATGTCAGATTTATGTTACATTTTGAAGGAAAACAATTTGAATCTTAGCACATTTTTCTTTAGCATTTAAGAAATTTTTTAATTATATTTTTTTTCTTCTCATGAGGTTACCTTGTAATCCATATAAATGGGATGGTCCAAACATTTAAATGACACTGTCTAATTATCTTTACTGTGTCGCTGTCAGTCCACCGGCACAGTGACAACCGAATGGGAGTAAGCATAACAGAGAAACACCACTCCAGGAGAGGATCAGAGAGTCAATCCAGCTCAACTTTATTAGGATAAGCACTGCATTTATATACACAGGAAGACAGGACAGGGTGGGCTTACAGATGTGGGACATGTGGATTGGTCAGGAGAACCTCAGCCTTGTGCGGATCACTCCTGGCTCAAGAGACATGGCAGCCGTCTTCCCAGGTGGTGAACTTTTTGAGCCGGTACAGCCAAACACAGAGGAGCTTTCTCTATATCGTATTAAGGGCTGTTGGGAGGCTTGCACCTGTCTGGAGCTCAGGTGATCTCTCCTGTCCAGAGACCCTCCCTTCCTCCCCCAACATTCTGCAACATTAGTGCCTCTACTGTGAAATGTTTATGAGGCCTCAGAGAAGTAGAGTCCACCACATTATTTACTCATTTTTATTTTTTAAAATTTCTTTTTTATGTTATTATTTTGTGTGTGTGTCCCGTCAAATCAACTCTGACTGGTACAGGAGGAGATTGCCCCTCCTTCTCCAGCGAAGGATCTAGTGGATTCGAACCGTTTGTATTTATTCATTTTTTAAAAAGTTTTATATTGGTTTGTTTACCAAGTTTCTATGCATTGAGTTTCATGCTATTCTTCGTTCACATTGTGTTTCGTGCAATCATTCCCATTCGTTATGTTTTATCATTTACTTCCTTTTAACAAAGAGCTGGAGCACGTCAGCGACGGTGAGGCCGGTGCAGGAGAAGGCAGGGTTCAGACCTGTTATTCACAGGGTCCCTGCTAGTCGTGATTCACCGATGGCAATCAACAACAGCATTTCTTCTTAGCTGCTCTGATTTAGCTTTTATAAAAAGTCCTACACATTTTTCTCCTGACTGGCTGTCTTGAAGCCTGGGCCGATCTGGTGGTGAGAGGTGTGTGTTTATTTAGTTCAGAGAGGAGGGTGTGGAAGTTCTCACGTGGAGACTTTACCTTTGCATGTCAGACGAGGGGATGAGCTCTGTCTTGGGACCCCTCTGTGTGCACTGCACCCCAGATTTCCTTGATGACACCAACATCTGTTGTCATGTGGCCACCTGCCTCTGAGAGCCAGTTCCACAGCCATCTTCCCTAGCTGTGTTGGCTGTGTTTGCTCACAAAGTTTTGAGTCTCATCCAGTTTCCACCCTGTCTTGACATCTTTGAAATTCATTCCGAAGCCATCCCATCTCATCATCTCCACCCCAATGATGTAAGACTGTGCAGAGCTTGTTGTTGGCTAAAGCCTAAACTTGGACCCCACAGTCCATCTAAACAGATGCTTTCGGTCCCTCAGTGCAGGCATTCCGCTGCATTTCTTTACAGAGTCATCTGTAGGCTGCAGGGTATTCCTGTATTAGTGAGTGACCCCGCCCCCACCCCTGGATCTCCAGGGCCCACTGAGAAGCTCAGTATGCAGCTGGAGCTTAATCAGTGTCCTCACTGAGGGCTCAAGTGTGCTCAGCTCCACACTCGGTCCTTATACACACTGGGAAGTCCCTCCTGAATATGTAGAATGAGTAGACCCTACCTGGGGTTAAAATATCATTCATTATAAATTGTGTTTTTATCCCCTTTAAATATCTGCCACCTCCTGTGCTTTTGAGCTCCATCCCATATTCATTTGCTCTGGATTAGTAAACTTAATGAGCCAGTTCCTAATTCTAACAAAACAGATCTGGAAGGCAGACCTTGAAAGTTCAGGAGAAAATTCTTTTTCTATGGATCCAAGTTGGTTTAGACCAGGTGTGAAGATGGGAATCTCTGATCTGCTTTTGCGTATAAGAATGTCCGAGTTCTCCCTTGAGGTGAAATTGGAACAATGTTTTTTACAAATGTATTTTAAGATTCCTTTAATCCTTCAGACTATATTAGATTAATAACATTGTGTGATTTTCTGCTTCTGAAAACGTTCTAGTGGGCCAGCTATGAGTCGGTTCCATCTCTACCGCAATGAGTTGAGTTTATGGTTGATATTGAATGATAGTAATTTAACATTGATCCAATGATACATTAAACCAGAACATTTTTAAATAAAGCACTTTGTCATTCTTCAGACTCTCTTTTAGATCCATTTGCCTGGGTTGTTTGAGTAATAGAACCACACTACAATTTAGCCACTATACGTGGTGGGTGGTGGTCTTCCCTGGGGAGTCTCTTGACCTGCCTGATACAGGTAAACTGCACTCCTGTGTGGCACACCTGTGGCTGAGAGAGGCCTTACAGGTATAACGTTTGTTCTCCTCAGTTTTCAGCTACAACACTGATTCCCGACAGACCTGTGCCAACAACAGACACCAGTGCTCGGTCCACGCCGAGTGCAGAGACTACACCACTGGCTTCTGCTGCAGCTGCGTCGCCGGCTACACAGGGAATGGCAGGCAGTGCGTTGCCGAAGGTAAGCCGTGGCCTTCTGTGACACCTGAGAGGGGCATGGAGGTTTAGTTTAAGGCTTGCCTCTGAGAGTGTCTGGAGTGTAAGATGTTTTCCGAGTGTCTGGGTTTCAGCTCTTGTTCCCCAGACTTCTCGTACTTCCCTTATGGGTGCCCTTCATGGAATGTCCATTTTCCCAAGGCCGAGTCTCTCTGCTCTTTCTCCATCCCTAAGGTCACGATCACCTGGAACCCATCTTCAGAGCCACCTGTGTGCACTGAGGCAAAGACTCAAGTGCTTAAATTACAGTCAAATGAGAGCTCCAGATTGCAGTTAGTGTTGTTCACAGTTCTATTTGGTTTTGGTGGTTTTTTTGAAAAAATCTTTTTCTTTTGTACTGGTTTACTTTCAAAGTTCATGCAGGTCTGTCTTGATAGTGCTGAACCCACCAGACCACAGAGAGCTGGCCTAGACCAGAGGTGACAGTGGGGAAAGCCTATCGTTAAACCGCAGTGTGGTCGTGGGGGACCCCACGCACTTCTACATGCCAACCTCGTGCTGGACCAAGTCTGGAGTATATCTGGCTGTGAGGCCCATCTGCTCTGAACTCTTAGGTGTTAGAAGAAGCCTGTCTGGACCAGTCTTGGGCATTCTGGTTAATTCGGACCTGGGAGGAAAAAGATGCTTCAAGCCACTTGCTGATGGGTTGATTTTGATGCAAGACAAGCCCGTGTGTCACAGAGCAAAACTGGTCCACACTGAGTTGTCTCTGGCTGACTTTTCGGTCGGTTGCGGCCTTTTCTCTGCTGTCTCCCTGAGCGTTTTGTTTACTATTGAGTATCTGTTTGCACCACCCCAGGACTCACCCCTGTGGGAGCCTGGAGCTGTATGCTGTTGTTATTAAGTGCCATCCAGTCGACTGTGCGTCAGTGCCCCTGTGAACAGCAGATCTGAGCCTTGCCCTGTCCTGTGCCACCCTCATCACTGATGTGCTCAAGCCCATTGTTCCTGGCCCTTTGCCAGTCCATCTGTTGGAGGTCTTGCTCTCTTCCTCTCACCCTCCACCTTACCCAGCACGATATCTTTTTCCAAGGACAGACCCCTCTTGTTAGCATGACCAAAGTATCTGAGATGAAGCTCCACTGTCCTTGCCTCTAAGGAGCACTCTGGTTGCACTTCCTCCAAGACAGACTTGTTCATTCTTTTGGCGGTCCATGAGTATGCAATACTCTTCCCCAACACCAGAACTCAAAGCATTGGTTCTTCCTCAGTCTTCCTTATTCATTTTCCAACTTTCAGATGCTTGAGAAACAACTGAAAATTTCCTGCTTGGATCAGTAGCGTTTTTATCTTTGAACCGACAGCCTTGCTCCTTAACACTTTGGACAGGCCCTTGACGATAGATTCTCCAAAAGCAACATATCTTTTGATTTCTTAACTGCTCCTCCCGTGGGGGTTAATTGTGGGTCCAAGCAGAAGGAAACAAACTCCAATCTTTTCTTCGTCTATCATGATGTTGCCTTATTGGTTCAGAGGTGAAGCTTTTTGTTTTCCTGATGGTGAGTTTTAATCCATATGGAAGGCCATAGTTTTTGATCGTCTGCAATAAGTGCTTCAAGTTTTCTGCACTTTCCACAAACAAGGTATAACAAAATTAGAAGCAAATCACAACATAACCAAAATAACCCTGCCATACTGACCACTTGTCCTCTTAGATGCCAACAAGTCATTTCCCCATAGGTAATTTTTCTTGTGAGTTTAATGGGAAACTTCTATTGCTTTGCCTCATTTAACAAAATAAAGCTCAGCTGTGTAAATGTCTTCTGTTTCTCAGATCCTCAGCTATCGTTCTAGTTAAATCAGTTAGCATTTTCATTTACTACCCTCAAAAGATATTATTGAATTGCCCTAGTAACCCAAACATACATGGTTCAAACCCACCAGCTGCTCTATGGAAGACGGATGGATAATCTCCTGTGACATAAACTGCCTCTGAAAACCCTCTGGAGGGAGGAGGGTCAGCTGTGGGTTGGTTCATAACAACAACAACCCAATAAAAACAGTGTGTGTGTATATTTTTTCTCTCTTGGTCACATGTGGATAAGGTGAGTTTTAGAACGTTTTTATAAAAGAAACAAACTCATGTAGTTACCATATTAACGTTTTAAATGCCTTTAAATGTGTTTTCTATTTCCTTCTGACCCCCTGCCCCAGGGGTGGTAAGCCTTTGTTCTTTGTTTCAGGCCTGGGGTTTGGCCCGCCCACCCTGGGACCGATTCCAAACTCCACAATGAGAGCTGCTTGGAGGAGAGCGAGCTCATTAGCTCTTTGTGTGTCCTGCTAAGCCCTGGAGCTGCTGAGCATCTTGTGTCCGCAGGAGTTTAGATGATACAGAACAGTCTTGCTGTAGTTGGATATTACACACATGCCCCACAGCAGTTTTGCAAAGCTGGCATAGTTGCTGGATTCTTCCTCCTCTTTAAAAATCTTTCTAGCTTTGGGTGGACGCGAAAGAGTGAGCTCAGTGCCCTGGTCGTGGCCTTCCAGGCCATCTCTGTTATCTGTGCCTGGGCTGCATTCTTGTGCCGTTAATCAGCTAACTTGGCACCACTCCCCTGCGTAATGACACAATCGGCCTGTGTGTGCTGGTCTGTCACAGGCGTGGGCATCTGAATGGAGTCAGAGGTCATCAGAACGTCCATGAAGATAGCCAGATGGGAATCTGTCTGTCCAGGACTTACTCAACAAGCACTGCTGAGAACTTACAAGGGCAGAATTCCGATGTGACTGGGAAGGACTGAGGACGAAACTCCGATCCCCAGGGAGTTACAATCTAGGAAGAGAAAGCAGATAGGCAGGCCATAAACCTAACTGGCTCTGGGTGACCTCTGTGTTACCTCTTATCCTGCCTTTCCATTCTGTCAGATCATTCACAGTCACTTTTGGGGCGTAAAACTGTGGTCTTTAGCATGGTTCACAAAAGTGGGTAGCTATCGCTGTGATAGCATGTTAGAGTCTTTTTACCATCCTCAAAACCATTAAAAGTCATTGTTTTTAATGTTGTTATTATTTAAGTGGTTTGTTGTTCTCCCCTTTGCCTCGATTCTCTTCACTGTTAAACCTCCGGAACAGATTCTTTCTGGGTGTACACCATTTTTTAGTTTTCTATGTTACTGGACCAATTGGTAGCATCAGGATGGATGGTGAAGAGACTGAGATTGTTCACAGCTACAGTTTGCTTGGCTCCACGGTCAACACTCTTGGCACCAGCAGCCAGGAAATTAAAATCGTATTGCGATGGGAAAGTCTGCTGTTAGGGACCTCTCCAAAGTACTCAAGAGCAATGGTGTCTCTCTGGAGACTAAGGTGCGCCTGATACAGGCCATGGTCTTTGCAATCACGTGTTATGCATCAGAGAGTTGGACAATGACTAGGGAGGATAGAAGGAGAATTGATGCCTTTGAGCTGTGGTGCTGGAGAAGAGTATTGAATGTACCCTGGACTGCCAAGAAAACAAACAGATTCATCCTGGAGAAGGTTAAACCAGGTTACTCCTTGGAGGCGAGACAAGGATTCTGGGGCTTCATCTGACATACTTTGGACATGTTGTAAGGAGAGACAGGTCCTTGGAGAGGGACATCATGCTGGGCAGAGTGGAGGGACAGCGCAGGAGGGGAAGACCCTCTATGAGGTGGATTGATTCAGTGACTGGGGTAATCGGGATGGGTATGTCAGAGGCCATGTGATTGGCACAGGATAGAGCAGGGTTTAGAGCTGTTGTACATAGGGTCGCTATGAGTCGCAAGCGACTCGACGGCACATAACAACAACAACATATTAGAATTCTTATAACCTAGATGTCCTTTTGTGACTGACTTAAGTCACACAGCATCATGTGTTCTCATCCCAGCCATGTCATGCAGTATTTTGTTAATTCTTACCATTTTTCTTATTGATAGATAATACTCTCTTGTGTGAATTTACCACAATTTCTTTAGCCAGTTGTCCGTAGGCACTTGGGTGGTTCCCAATTCTTTACTTTATGTATGTTGTTGTTAGGAGCTGTCAAGTCAACTACAATTCATAGAGACCCTGTGAACTACAGAACTGAACCTTGTCCTGTCTTGTACCATCCAGCATCCCTGATGTGTTCAAGCCCATTGTTACAATCAGTGTTTCAATCCGTCTTCCTGGGGGCCCTCCTCTCTTTCTCTGACCCTCTGCTTTTCCAGCATGATGTCCTTTTTCCAAGGATTAGCCTTTCCTGACAACATGCCCCAAGAATGTGGAACAAAGTTTCATCACCGTTGCCTCTAAAGGGCACTCTGGTTGTATTTCCTCCAAGACAGACTTGTTTGTTCTTTTGGCAGTCCACGGGATAGTCAGCACTCTTCTCCACTACCACAATTCAAAGGCATCGATTCTCTTCAGTCTTCTTGACTCATTGTCCAATTTACAGATGCACAGAATTTTACTGAAAATACCATGGCTTGGATCAGGCACTTCTTAGTCTTTAAACTGACATCATTGCTCTTTAGCACTTTAAAGAGATCCATTGTTCCTGATCTATAGACATTATACAAATGTATTAACTTGAAATGAAGGTCCCCTGCATGACCCTGAGTTCATTAGGCCAGAACTGACCCATAGCTGACCCTTGGCGGATTTTTGGAGGCATGTATGTGTGTGTATATATGTGTGTGTGTGTGTGTGTGTATGTATGTGTATATATGTGTATGTATATGTCTATGTATGTGTGTGTGTGTGTATAGCTTCCACGTCCTAAACAACATGCCTCTGGACACTCTATGAACTTTGAGAAACAATGATAGTTCTAGAAATGTTCCAGGTCTTTTGTACATAGGGTTGTGCTCAACTCAAGGACAAACAACAACTATATATATTTAGCAACTTGTTACACTGGCCATAGTAGGTCCACCGTATTTTCCTATCTGTGGAAATGGAACTGTCTGTGACCGAGAACCCCATTCTAAAGTGCAGGCCTGTGTGGTGTCCACCTATGCACTCCAGAGGCCTGGGTGAGACTGCAGGACCCCAAGTCTGTATGGTTTTTGAGTCAGAGATGCTTCATGAGCAGGGTTACAGATTGGGCCACCACATGTCCCAGATCCCCAGCAGCATCCCATTTAGCCCTATGGCCCAAGCGTAATGACGTGTTCTGACTCAGCATTGTTAAGTTGTGTAGTCATGCTGTTTCTGGATGACCGACAGTACAGTTCTCCTGAAATTATCTTTGCCCTGTAGTTCCTGCTCACCGAGGAGCCCTCTTTCACTCATGTCATGGTTAGGGTCTTGGGGAGTTTGACATCAATGGCTCATGGCCGAGGGTCCTCTTCTTGGGGAAGAAATACTACTTTGGCCTATTCTGGAGTCATTTACCCTGTCCTGTCTTCACAAATTGATCTGTGTCATAATAGATGCTTTTTTTTTCCTTTCAGAATGACTAACACCTCCTTTTGTTTCTTGCCCAGGATCCCCTCAGCGAGTCAATGGCAAAGTCAAAGGAAGAGTCTTTGTGGGAAACAGCCCGGTCCCTGTTGTCTTTGAGAACACCGACCTTCACTCATACGTCGTGATGAATCAAGGTCGCTCCTACACAGCCATCAGCACCATCCCGGAGGCCCTCGGCTACTCCCTGCTGCCCCTGGCCCCTGTGGGCGGCATCATTGGCTGGATGTTCGCTGTGGAGCAGGACGGGTTCAAGAATGGCTTCAGCATCACTGGTAATGTAGACTATACTCTGTGACCGGGGGACCAGGCAGCAGGGCCTGGGGTAGAGGGAAGGGGTGCAGATAAGCAACCTACACCATCCATGGCTTCATCTCAAGAAACTTTCATTAATGGGCACTTACATGTTAAAAGGCATGTAATTTTCACATATTGTGAAATACTATAATTTAGAATTAAAACCATTTGAGAATGGAAAAACTATTCTTCGCTACAGAGCTATAACAAAAGAGGTGGAAGAGTAGATATATCCCTCACACTGTAAGTTGCCAGCCCTTCTGATGACTTAGCTATAGGAGTTACACTGACAACCAAAGGCTGTTGGTTCAAATCCACTAGCTGCTCTACGGGAGAAAGGTGGGCCACCTCCTCTTATGCAATTTACAGCCTCTGAAGACCTGCTGGAGAATCAGCCATGAGTTGGTCCTGACTTGACAGCACTTAACGACAGCCTGTAATGTCAGAAGCTAATGTTCCCCAATGTGGAAAAGGCAGCCCCTCTCAGAAGGGATAGGTATTTTCTGCAGGTCTGAGGTTGCTGCCCCACACAGGCCCAGGGGCATTCCCGAGCCAAGCCCAGGAGTGAGTGGCTGCTAGGTGGGTTTCTGGACAGGTGGACATTTGCCTGTTACAAACTCCATCCTGTATCTGGCACTCAGGGAGCATGTGACAATGTGCAAAGCACTTTTTTAATTTGTCTCTACTCTCTTTAATTGGCATGAGAGATATTGTGCCATCATGAGGAGATGGAAGTTTAACTCCCGAGGCCGTGTCCTTGGTACCTCTCCCAGCTGCGCCTGGAGGCGGCTTGTTTGAGAAGGCAGCAGTCTCTCTGTGGCTCCTCTGAGCTGCATGATGTCCAAACCTGCCTGGCCCTGGACTAGTTTGGTTAAGCTAGGCAGTGTGCCTGGCTGTCCCTGTCCCCCTGTGACAGTGATGCCTGTCCTAGGCGGGTGGCCGAGTTCAGCCACATTCTGTGGGTGGTGCTGACCTGGGATTGAGCTGATGCACGCTTGTCACCAGCCCACGTTCCGCAGGTGGTGAGTTCACCCGGCAGGCCGAGGTCACCTTCGTGGGGCATCCGGACAAGCTGGTCATCAAGCAGCACTTCAGCGGCATCGACGAGCACGGACACCTGACCATCGACACGGAGCTAGAGGGCCGCGTGCCCCGGATCGCACCCGGCTCCTCCGTTCACATGGAGCCCTACACGGAGCTCTACCACCACTCGCGCTCAGGTGGGCGCCCCGGGGTCACCACGTGGGCAGGGGGCAGCTGGTTCCAAGAGCACACGCCACATGGCAGTGACAACCACAGTGTGAAACCTTTCCTCTAACTCATTGATACTGAGGCAGAACCAGCTCAGGGCTGACCCGCCAGCAGTTCTCAGAGGCTGTAAATTGCCTGGGAGGAGTTTCTCTGTCTTTCTCCCATATAACAGGTGGTGGATTTGAACTGCCTACCTCTGGGTCAGCAGTACATACTCTTACCCACTACTTTGCAAAGCTCTTATTAACTTGTCTGGAAAGGCTGCGTGGCTGAGCCCACAGTTTCCTCCAGGGGATGCAGGAGGGGAAGGGAGCCCCCAAAACCCTTGTCTGCAGTCTGTCTTCCGCCAGATGGCAATTTCCGGAGCCCCACATGCCGAGCTGGGCGGAGCTGCATACAGCTGGGCACACGTCATTTGTCCCCTGGCTTTTGTGCTGCTGTTAATGGTGAGAACTGCAGCACAGACAGAAATACAGAGTCTGTCAAATTTTTTTAAAAAGGAAGCTATGGATTTCATGGCTTCTTCTGATTGGGAAGACTCTTTTTCATTTGTTGAGATTTGGTCATAGCTTTCATGACAATTTTTCAGATTGCCTGAATAATACCCATTTGCTCATTTTAAATATCACGATATAGGCAGAGCAGCCACTTTTTACTGAATACTAAATGAGATAGCCTGACAGCTAGCGTGGTGCCATGGCACTCTGGTGGCCTACGGGGTAAGGAGTTGCTTTGCCAACTCAAAGGTAAATGGTTTGAATCCACCAAGGGCTTCAAGGGAGAGAGATGGGCAATCTCCCGTGTGATGTATAGCTTCTGAAAACCCACTGGAGCATCAGCTATGAGTCAGTTTTGACTCAAAGGCACATAACTACAACAGCATGGTGGTGTTCACATAGTAAATGGTAGTTCAGGGCAAGAATGGCACTGTTGTGATTGGCTGTTGTGGAGCTGTTGTCTGATTTCTGGTAACCTTGTGTCATGTTGTAACAGAATGAAACATTGCCCAATACTGCCTTCATCATACTTGCTGTTATTAGCCTGCTGACTTCTAGAAGTTTACCCTTTGTAGAAAAGAAGTGTTGGCTTGAGAAGTGGGTGGCCCTTGATCCCAGCTGTGGCAGAACTGGTAGCTCAAGATCGATCTCCTTACAAGTTTGTGAGGTTCCCACCATGCCTCAGACCCTCAGACAGTTCTGGGAGTGTTACAAATGTCTCTGGAGTCCCTGGATGAGCAAAAGCTGTGATACAGCAATGCCAGCAGTGCCAGTGGGCAGGGGACCTGACTCAAGGTGTGGCCACTAGGAACCATGGTCCTCACTGACCTGCTCCACCTGCCCTCCTGTGTGGTACCATCATGGGCAGGAGAGAAGCTGGTGGTTGGAAAGTTCTAGATGACACCCCACACATCCTAAGACTTCTCTTGTCTCCCTGCCTTGTCCCTCCATCCCCCAGTGATCACATCCTCGTCCACCCGGGAGTACACAGTGACTGAGCCAGAGCGGGATGGAGCTGCACCCTCCCACACTCACACCTACCAGTGGAGACAGACCATCACCTTCCAGCCATGCACCCACGGTGATGCCCAGTCCGTGCTGCCCAACACCCAGCAGCTCTCGGTGGACATGGTGTTTGTGGGCTACAAGCAGGATGAGCAGATCTTGCGCTACGCGCTGAGCAACTCCATCGGCCCGGTCAGGGGTAAGCAAGGTGGATGGGCAGGCAGGTGCTTCCATGTGTCTTCCTTGTCTGTGTGTCCACATCCGTGTGTCCCTGTCCATATGTCCACATCCATGTATCTGTGTGTCTGCATCCATGTGTCCACGTCTGTATGTCCGCATCCATGTGTCTCTATTCATGTGTCTGTGTGTCCCTCTCCCTGTGTCTGTGTCCATGTGCCCATGTGTCTCTGCATCTGCATCCATCTGTCTGTGTGTCCATGTTCTTGTGTCTCTTTGGGTCTGCATCCCTGTGTTTCCATCTGTGTGTCCCTGTCTGTGTGTCTGCTTCTGTATGTCCTTGTCCGTGTGTCTGCGTCCCTGTGTCCCCATCCTTGTGTCTGCATCCCTGTATCAACAGCTGTGCATCCACTTCATGTATCTGTGTCTGTGTGTGCGGCCATTTGACCCGTCCTCACACACTGTAGATGGGGAGGCATGGTCAGGTGAGCACTTCTCTTCTGTGACCTAGGGAGGAGGGAAGCTCTCTGTCCCTGTAAGTGAAGCTTCCTCATTTTCCCAGAATGCAGCCTGCTGAGTCCCATCCTGGGCTCCCACATATCTGCCCCGAGCCTCAGGAGGGACAGTGCTCTGGTCTGATACTGGGCGCTCCTGTGCACGTGGGTGCAGCCGGAACACAGGTGGGGTGAGAGGGCTACCAATCCCTCTGTGCCAATCTTAACACCATCTAAGCCTTTAAAGCTCGGGGCCCTGGGTATCAGAGGTCTGAGCATTCCTATCTTTTTATGTCTTATTCATCTCCTCCGTAGGAGTGTTACACATCTCTCCCTCCAGGCCCAAGTTTGCCCTTCATCTAGTGCCATAAAGCAGAGAGAGGCATGGTGTCTTTGCAATTATAAAGCTCTGGGTGTCTCATTTGAATTCTGGTGGATTAATACATGGTAAGGAGTTGTGCTGCCCACTCAAATCTGGGTGGTTCACATTTCCCAGTGGCTCCATTGGAGAAAGATGAGAAGTTTCCACCCATGAGGTTTTCTTGTTATTCTTGTACCATTGGATCGGAATGACCCATGGCTGATCTTCTAGCAGGTTTTCAGAGGCTGTAAGTTGCATAGGAAGAGACTGCCCATATTTCTCCGGCAGAGCAACTGCTGCATTTGAACCTTTGGGTTTGCAGCAGAGCTTCTTACCATTGAGCTCCTATGAGATCGACTACCTCTGAAAGCCTGCTGAACAGTTCAAATAACAAAATGCTACTTAGAGGGGGAGGGTCAGCCTAGGAGAGGAAGATCCCGGGTGAGATGGATTGACTTAATGACTGTGGTGGTGCAGTTAGGTGTGTCAGAGATGGTGAGATCAGCTCAGGATATGGCAGGGCTTGGAGCTATTGTTGATAGGGTCTCTGAGTCACAGAGGACTCACTACAACAACACTTAGAAGGGATTGCTTCCATGCCAGCTGTGGGAAGAGGAAACCTTCAAAAGCTCCTGAATGCTTGCTGCTGTTGTTATTGTTAAATGCCGTAGACTTGTAGATGACCCATAGTCTATGAAACAAAGTCTTGAACACAAAACTTTCATCTTTTCTCAAAGTTCGTAGAGGCAAGCTTTTTTTTTTTTGAAAGTGGATGCCCCTCCACTTGCAAGCCTGTTTTATTTGAGAGATTCACAAAAAGCAGGCCCGAGGGCCCAAAGGCCCTTTTTAAAAAGGCCACATTCTATCAGCTCACATCCAATTGTGAACAACAGCCACATCCTAGTCTCAACTCCAAACCAGAAAACACACCTACCAACCCATAGCTGACCCTCTGGCAGGTTTTCAGAGGCAGTTAATCACACTGGAGGAGATTGCCCATTCTACTTCCATGGAGCAGCTAGTGGCCTTGAATCGCCTGCCTTTGGGACTACAGCACAGCTTCTTGCCACTGGGCCACCAGAGCTCCCAAATGCTTACACTGTTTCAATGTCTCTGCCTTCACAGACGGCTCCCCCGATGCCCTGCAGAACCCCTGCTACATCGGCACGCATGGCTGTGACACAAACGCGGCATGTCGGCCGGGTCCCGGGACAGAGTTCTTCTGCGAGTGCTCCATCGGCTTCAGAGGAGATGGCCAGACCTGCCGAGGTACAGCCGCCAGGCTCGCCATGGGGGCAGGGTGGGGCCCTGTGCACTCAGAGCCGGGCAGCAGTCCAGTGGACAGAGACCGACCATGCGCCTGGTGGGAGCAGCAGAGCAGAATTCCCAAGGCCACAGGTGAAAGGAATGCTCACATCAGTGGTGCACACAGCTGTTGTTGTGAGGGGCCGTCAAGTCACCTCTGACTTACAGTGGTCCTGTGTAAAACAGAACAAACCCTGCCCTCCCTCTAGAAATGGAGGTAGTTCGAAGCCACAAGCAGCTCTGTGGGAGAAGGATGGGCAGTCTTTCCCATGTCGGGCATCATGCTTGGAAAGGTGGAGGGTCAGTGAGAGAGAGGAAGACCCTCAACAAGATTATCACAGAGACCTCAGCAATGAAGTCAAGTGAGTCAGAGGTGATGAGGATGGCACAGGACAGGACAGGGTTCAGGTCTGTTATTCATTGTGTCACTGTGTGTCGTACTCATTTGCACCTAACAACAACATGGAAGGATTGTTGTTACATGCCATTGAGTCACTTGTGACTCATAGCAACCCTATGTACAACAGCCCTGAACTCTATCCTGTGCCAACCTTATTGTCTCTGACACACCCATCCCCATTACCCCAGTCACTGAGTCAATCCATATCATCAAGGGTCTTCCTCACTTGTGCTGTTACTCCACTCTCCCAACCATGATGTACCTCTTTAAGGACTGGTCTCTTCTTGCAACATACCCAAAGTTTGTTTGAAGACAAAGCTTCAGAATCCTTGCCTCCAAGGAGCAGCCTGGTTTCACCCTCTCTAGCATGAACCTGTTTGTTCTCCTAACAGTCCATGGTACACTGAATACTCCTCTCCAGTACCACAGCTCAAAGACATCAATTCTCCTATCATCCCTGGTCATTGTCCAACTTTCTGATGCATAGCAAGTAATTGTGTAGACTGTGGCCTGAATCAGGCGCACCTTGGTCTCCAGACTAACATCGTTGCTATTCAGTACTCAGGAGATGTGTCTGTCAGCAGACTTTCCCAATGATATGTAAAAGGACAACCCAACAATTATAAGCTCTTTGGACATAAATAACAGTGTTGTTATATGGCACTGAGTTAGAACAGGCTCATAGCTGACCCTCCAGTGGGTTTTCAGAGACTGTATATCACAACAGATTGACCATCCTTCTCCTGCTGAGCAGGCTGGTGGATTCAAACCACCTACTTTGTGTTGGCAGTGCAGCTCCTTACCCATCAGGCCACTGCAGTGTGTAGATACTCACTGTCCTGCTGATAGACAGTAGTGGCCTGTCACAGAGAGAGGGCTTTGTCAGGAAGACACCACAGCCCTGCTGCCGATCATCTCACTGTCCCCAAGCTCCCTGCAGCTCTCCCTCAGGAAGCAGGGTGGCCGTGTGGAGGTCCACGTTGTCCTGTGGTCAGCGGGGCACTGGCATTTTAACATGAGGGAATGTGGGTGTTTTCCCAGCCAGGCCCTTTGCTATTCTGGCCCCCCTCAACATGCCTAGGAGTGTGAATGCACCCAGACAATGGACTTTTCAAAGGAAATTGTGTTAATCAAATCACCTCATGTACTTCCACTGGGAAGTGCCCTAGAGGTGGGGGGCTAGGGGGCTGCCCTGCAGATGAGGATGTGTCTTTGTGATGCAGTGGGTGTGTATATAACACTGATAAATTACATGTGACAGCCCCACATGGCTGTCTGGGAGGCTGTCTGGGGAGGATGCATTTACAGTTGAAACACAGCATCTGGTGCCAGCTTCTGTTATGTCCTGGGGGGAGTCTGCAGGGAAGGTTTTGGCTAATCGCTTGTTGAGCAATTTTGTATTTTTTTTTTCTTTTTCAGTACATGAAAGGCATTTAGCAAACCGGTTATGAGATTCCTTGCTTTTCAAAAAGCCTATTCTATGAGAAATAAGAAAAATTGCAGAAACTTAGAGTTAATTGAAAAGATAAGGAAAATAGTCACTCTGAGGGAATATAACCCAAAACCATCAGAAAATAAAGCAGTAATATTTAAAGTACTATTTTATTGTTTTCTGTGAATTATACTCACACACTCTCTTTACCATAGAGACAGAACCAATGCATAGCTGACCCTCCGTCAGGTTTTCAGAGGCCGTAAATGTGCCCATCTTCCTCTCTTGGAGCAGCTGGACCACCTGCCTTTGAATTGTGTGCCATCAAGTCAGAACCAACCCATAGCTGACCCTCTAGAAGCTTGTCAGAGGCTGTAAACTGAAGAGGAGGAGATTGCCCATCTTTCTCCTGAGGAGCAGCTGGTGGATTTGAACCGTATGCCCTTGGGATTATAGTACAGCCTTTGGGTTGGCCCCACAACTAACTCTTTATTCACTAGAGTTCTCTACTGTGATAGTGATGCTGTTGTTCAGTGCCATTAAGTTGAGTATGACCCATTGTGATCCTAGAAAAAACCTGTCTGAACACTGTTCCATTTCATATCATTCTCATAATCTATGACACTCTCAAATCCATTGCTACAGTCATTATTTCAAACCCACCTGGTCAAAGGTCTTCCTCTCTGTCCCCCCACCTTTCTAAGTGAAATGTCCTTCTCCAAGGAATAACCTCTCCCAGCAACATGCCCAAAGTATGTGAGGTGAAGCTTTGCTATTCTTGCATCCATAGGGAGCATTTGGGCTACAATTTCTCTAAGATATATCTGTTTATTTGGCAGTTCATGGGATATTCTGTACTCTTCTTCACCACCACAGTTCAAAGACGTAAATTCTTTTTCTATCATTCTTATTCATTGCTCAGTTCTCACTTGCATAGCAAGTGGCTGTATAGACCATGGCCTAAATCAGGCACACTTTTGTCCTCAAACTAACATTATTACTCCTCAATAATTTGGAGAGGTCCCTAACTGAAGACTTTCCCTAACTATAGTCTATCACTGTGACACTGTTGTTGTTAAGTGTTGTCAAGTCGAGCATAACACATGGTGACCCTATGAACAAAGACCTGAACCCTATTCTATATTTATTGTCATTTCTTTAAGTTTATAGAGTTTCTGGAGGCATGTTATTTAGGAAGTGGATGCCACTCCTGCTTCTAAACCTGTCTTAATCTGGTAGTGCCACCAAACACTGTCTACCATAAGTAACCATTATGGCGTTTGCAGACCAGTGGCACAGTGTTCAACATCACAGCAACTACAAGTTACCTCAGTACAGCAAACTGACAGAGCAGGGCTGTACCGCTTAGAAGAATGTTAGTCTCAAACACAATTTACACTACGCTCAAGGGGGGCCAAACCAACTTTTACGTTTAAAGGCCCACCCACAGCTCATTGTCAGCTAAATGCAGCAAATCCAATCAGCTTACACCCAATTGTGAACAAAATAAAAAACAACCAAACAGTCCATACCCAACCCTCAACTTAAACAAGAGAACCACTTTCCAGAATTCAACTGCTTCACACATGAGTCTTCAAACAGGAGACTTAGTCTAGGACTCCTTCATTTACCCAAGCAAAGGGTTAATGAGACATGGGGATGAATTTCCAAACCACAGAGGTTGTGAGATGCTAGTGGAGACGTTGGTAGGCTCTTATTAGAAAGAGAGGTTGTCTTCTAGCCTGACACATGGGTGGAGACATGCAGAGAGGTCCCTTTTGGGCTGGGGATTCTGTTGGCCTTGACTTTCTGGGCCAGGCATGAGGGAAGGGTGTACTTCTAAGTAGGAGAAAGTGTTTTCCAAACACAACTTCCTGCTCCTTTGTGGAAAGCAGAGAGCCAGCCAGGAGGAGGTGACTTGGCATGGTCCTTGATTGAGGACTGCTGCTGGTGGTGTTGACTTTAGGCAGTGACAGCCCAGCCAGACAGCCCTCAGTCTAACCAGGGTGTCCAGGCCAGCTGTGCAGGGGACATCCACTGAGACTTCTGGGGTGGGAGAAAGTGGATGTGGCCTTTCTCCCATGTCATCGGAGCAGCTGGTCGTCTGGAGCCCCCCTCCAGCTCCAGGATGTGGAAGGGGCTGTGTTCCGGGGCCTTCCAGCTGTGCCTCTGATCGAGATCTTGTGTCTTCAACATGTCACAGAAGTACAATTTAGTTTGCTTCCTGAAAGCTGAATGCCATTTGGCTTGAGTTGGTCAAGGGCAGGTTGTAGGGCCAATGTGGCAGAAGTGCTTGCTCCATGCGGTGCTATTCCAGTCAGCATTGGCTTCACTGGTAAAGGCACTGGACTGATCTATGGGGCAGGTGCAAAGGCACCACAGAAAGGGCCAGGGCTGGGAGGAGGCTGTGTGATCTAGGCAGTCATGAAGTCTCCTTCAAACACTTCCAGGTTCTAGAGGCCCCAGTAGTGACTGTGGACCCTCTGAGGGTGTGGTTGGTATGAGAGGCACCTGGGGCGGTGTGTTCACCTTATCCCATCAGTGAGTGGGTGTGTACTCCCAGCGTAGTGCAGGCTAGCTCAGTTTTTTAGCTTGAGCAACCTTGCTGATCATCACAGGCTAGCCGTCAACTGGCCTCCAGAGCCCACTGACCATCAGAGAGGTGTGTTCTCACATCTATCACCATGGCTGTTGGTGTACGATGAATCTCAATAATTATCATATAAGTACTGTTTCTTAAGCATGCTAGGTCTTCTAGCCTACATTCATCTTCTGTAATCCTACAGTACTCAATAATCATACTTATTTACCGCTGGGTAAACAGACCAAATAAGGAGGGAACTTGCTCAAGATCACACAGGCACCAAACCAGATGCTGTGGTGGTGATTCCAACTCCTGGCCACCCCCTGTGTACCAGTTCAGAGCTGTGCTCCACAGACCGCAGGGGCTGAATTTTTAGATGTAGATCACCAGGAGGTTTCCCCTGAGGCAACTTTGAGTGAACTTGAACCTACAGACTTTTGATTAATATCTGAGCATGCTAATCACCGTGGATTCCCACACAGAGACAGCAATGACCACCAAGACGGTGGAGGCACCACTCAGGAGACTGGCCACAGTGCACAGGACCAAGCTGGTCATCTCACAGACTTTGTTGCTTGAAGAGGACTGTCATGCTTGGAAAGGTGGAGAATCAGTGAAAGAGAGGAAGACCCTCAACCAGGTGTATTGACACAGTGACTGGTGCAATGGGCTTGAGTGTGTCAGAAATGATGAGGATGGCATAGAACAGGGTTCAGATTTGTTGTTCATAGGGTCGCTATGGGTCATACTTGACTCAACAACAGCCACCACCATCACCAAGATCATAACCACTAGAGTTAGATGAGAATCACACAGCTGGTAACTGAGGGGGAGAGGATTCAAATTTAGATATGTACAACTTCAAAGAGTATGTTTTCTTGTACTGTGGCCTCATGGTTGATGGCTCTCATATTGCCCTTGGAAAGGACATCATCTTACTAAATCTAGTATGTTAGTAGCTTTCCTTTTAGTTCAGTAAGCTCTCAATAAACTCGATTCATTGCCACTGAGTCAAAACTGGCTGCCAACTGACCCTCCAGCAGGTTTACACAGATAAGATTCACACCTGGCAGAGACTGCCCATCTCTCTCCCTCAGAGAAGCTGGTGGTTTCAAACCACCCACTTTTGGGTTGGCAGTGCAACTCCCTCCCCACTAGGCCACCATGGCTCCCTTCAGTGTGTTCTATGGTATTTTTTTAACAATTCACAATTTTTTT